TAATTAGTTTGGAGGTATTTTGTTCATTAAAACGTGTCATTTTAAGAGTGATCCCCCCAAAAAAGCCAAGCCCCATTTTTTTTATGGTTCCCCAAAGAAACCCTTTTCCCGGGAATACTTCCCTTTGTGGAGCTTATAATATTGATATTTGGAAACATCTCTCTCTATATATACTCCTGTTATTAGCATCGCGGTGCGAATTAGTTTTCGGGTATTTAAATGTCCCTCGTCTCTCTATATATACTCCTGTTATTGGCATCGCGATGCTAATTAGTTTGGAGGTATTTTGTTCATTAAAACGCGTCATTTTAAGAGTGATCCCCCCAAAAAAGCCAAGCCCCATTTTTTCTGATGGTATCCCCCGAAGAAACCCTTTTCCCGGGAATACTTCCCTTTGTGGAGCTTATAATCTTGATATTTAGAAACGTCGTCTCTCTATATATACTCCTGTTATTAGCATCGCGGTGCGAATTAGTTTTCGGGTATTTAAATGTCCCTCGTCTCTCTGTATATACTCCTGTTATTGGCATCGCGATGCTAATTAGTTTGGAGGTATTTTAAGCAGTAAAACGTGTCATTTTAAAAGTGATCCCCCAAAAAAAGCCAAGCCCCATTTTTTGTATGGTATCCCCCAAAGAAACCCTTTTCCCGGGAATACTTCCCTTTGTGGAGCTTATAATCTTGATATTTGGAAACATCTCTCTCTATATATACTCCTGTTATTAGCATCGCGATGCGAATTAGTTTTCAGGCATTTAAATGTCCCTCGTCTCTCTATATATACTACTGTTATTGGCATCGCGATGCTAATTAGTTTGGAGGTATTTTGTTCATTAAAACGTGTCATTTTAAGAGTGATCCCCCCAAAAAAGCCAAGCCCCAGTTTTTTTTATGGTATCCCCCAAAGAAACCCTTTTCCCGGGAATACTTCCCTTTGTGGAGCTTATAATATTGATATTTGGAAACATCTCTCTCTATATATACTCCTGTTATTAGCATCGCGAAATTAGTTTTCAGGCATTTAAATGTCCCTCGTCTCTCTATATATACTCCTGTTATTGGCATCGCGATGCTAATTAGTTTGGAGGTATTTTGTTCATTAAAACGTGTCATTTTAAGAGTGATCCCCCCAAAAAAGCCAAGCCCCAGTTTTTTTTATGGTATCCCCCAAAGAAACCCTTTTCCCGGGAATACTTCCCTTTGTGGAGCTTATAATCTTGATAATTAGAAACGTCGTCTCTCTATATATACTCCTGTTATTAGCATCGCGGTGCGAATTAGTTTGGTGGTATTTAAATTATTTTTTCCTCTAAATTTTACTTCCAACAATTTAAAATCATTCAATGTTAAAATATTAACTCATTTAACGCTTCTGACGTTACGTAAAATAACGTCAAAAATTATTAGCATCGCGATGCTAATAACAGGATAATGCCTTACTTCTTAATGTTCCAAATTCTACTTTTAAAAAATATTTTCGAGGAAATTCTCGTTAAGTAACATTTTTTTCACCTGACCTCTTCGTCTTATAGCTCTTACACGACTATGGTTTTCAATAGGCTGTTGTATCAATTATAAATTAATTTTCGCAATTTCAATTAGTTAAAAGAAAGGAACGTTGAATGGTTAATACTGCGATTTTTACTGTGATCTCCTGCTATATTATACTGCATATTACAAACCTGTGACCGTGTTACCGGTTGTGCCATGATTGTATGATTGTTTACGAAATTGCAACCTTTACTATCTTCTGAGACTGAAGAGCTAGAGCTCTATCAATCTCCCATACAGAGTTGTCGTTCATTACTCTCTCGAACACCTGTCTCAAAATTTTCTACATAAAAGAACAACGTGATACTCCTTGACACTAAGGATTTTTTCAAATTAAACGGAGTTTTTAATCTACTTAGTAAATGTCTACCTTAAAGTCATATATGGTGTATTTTTTGCTAAGTTCAGAAAACTAAATTAGAATGTTTTAATTCAGTACTTTAATTAAAATATAAAGATATTTGGACTTTAAAAAGTTTTCTGAGAATAAAAAAACCCAGCCAACTTATATAACAACTCAGCATTTAAATAACATTACTTCTTTAAGGGGAAAAAAAACTTTTATGCAGATTCCTAATTTTTTATTAATTACATGTAATTCAAATAAATTAAATGTTATCTTTTATTATAATTTAAGTCAATAGAACTCTGTTAATATATGGAAAAAAATAATTGATAGCATTTTCCTCTTCTCATGTAGAACTTTTTCCATAAAATCTGCTTCCTACATTTACAGTCTAATAATGGGACACAGTAAGTGTTCAATTTGAAGTCCAAAAGCTTGTTGGAAGACCAAAGCCAAATTGTTAATGAGGAACTCTAGCATCAACTTCAGGGTACTTGTGTGTAGAATCAGGAAGATTTTTAAGAAAAATGTTGCAGATAACAAGTCACAAGATATAAACATTTACAAGGTCAATTCTGATTGAAGAATCTGTCTTGATATCAAAATACCTGCTCTTCAATTATTGTGAGATATATATACCGGTACATTATTATAAAGCATTCAAAAGTACAGTAAAACTCATTTAGTATGATCACAGTTATTGCAAATTCACGGATATAGCAAAGTGATCTTGAATCCCCAGCTATATCAATTTAACGGATTTCTTATACAGATATAACAAATTACAGATATAGCGAAGTTATTTCATAGGTCCCAGTGACTTCGTTATAACTGAGTTTTGCTGTAATCTGTTAAAATGCTACTAATTTTTGAAAGGTTTTGCAATTTTCAAATTTTCTGAACTTCTTTAATTTTTTTTTGAGAATCCACATTTGATTAAAATGTTGTATATTATATCATGTCCAAATTTCTACTTTATGGCTTTTATGCTAGGAATAATGTTTCATCAGAAAAAAAGAACACACTATAATACAAGTGCACATTTAATATCAACAACAATGTAATCAACATCTATATATATTTATAAATATATATTAATCTATCATTCAAATGCATTATTGCACCATTATAACAATCAAATCACGCCACAAAAATTGGATTCATTGACCAAGAGAGGTTTCTCTCTCTTTTCCACCTCTCTTGTCTCTCAAGTACGTCATATATATTATTAAACAGTGAGTCAAGATTTTTAATGCACCATTAGAAAGGAAATAAGATTTTTTAGAAACTGAATGTATCCATAAAGTACATGTGACTAAAATTGGCTAGACATTATTCAGATATTAACTTTTATCCTCCTATCAAATGTTAAAAATAAGTACCCTATGCTATATTACTTTTCCTTGAAACCCTGAAATTGCTAAATAATTGACAAGTTTGAAATGGTCTACTGAAGAGCAAATTAGTAAAGGTACACACTAAATTAGTAGCTGCTTTCCTGATCTACAATATTCTTAGTGTTTTATACAGATCATCATTAAAAATCATCATTTTAATCTTGTATTTTTTTGTACTTGATAATAAACCTATGATTTCTTATTAGTATACACACATACATCTATAACAGTTTATGATATCTGCTTTAAAAAGCATATGATGATTTCTATATTAAACATAAAATGTATATTTTTTTTTCTAAGGATGTTGCACAGTTTGATTCAAGGACAAGGTTACTTCTAAAGCAAAGATGCTTTATAAAACAAACTTTTATATGAACACTAAAACTGACAGATTTTGGTATTACTGAGAAGAATTTACTTGGCATTGCTTCCAAGACTTAGAGTCGTATCAACCATCAAAGTAATATAAGAAATAGATAGGAAATATCTTCAGTACCAACAGATAATAATTAAGAGTTCTTTTAATTTAATATTTGGTAATCTCATAAAGCAAAACAATTAAAAAAGATTCAATGACAAATAATTTTTGCTGCAATGATTGTGTATATGACAGGAAGTGGAAAAAATATTGTAAAGGTCAACAAACAGCTGATTTTTTTGTTACAAGGTCATCCTAAAATGTGTAAAACAGACTCAGAGCCACAGATATGACATATTTTGTCTGTTCCTTTCTGCTTAATGAACAAAATTATACACTGTTAAGGAAAGTCAAATATCAAAGTAGAGTTATTATAGAAAAAACCGTATTGTGTATGGATTACCTCCCCTCAGAATAAAGTACCCTTTCCCCAATAGTACTTATGTACAAAAGATTAGCAGTAAATGGTAAAGTTGAAATGAAAGTCGAAATGTTCAACCTCTGAACCTCTGCTTTAAAACTTGTCAAGTGGTAGAGACCAGGAACACTTTATACAGGTCCTACCAAATAATGTACAACATCCCTCGGGTCATGGAAGGTCAGTTATAAAACTTAGTGATGAAGAGACAGTGATGGCCAATAACTGATGGATAACAAATAACACAACCAGGAACGTAATCACATACTCTCACAGCTCTCAACAAAGGGATAGGAATGTATAGAGAACATACATCATGTGACTGCATTAATGAGATGTTCAAAGAGGGACTATGCTATCAGATATAAAATTCTACACAGTGTCATCACAAACTCACTGTAATATAAACCGTGCACAGTCTAAAAAAATTGTTTAAAAATCTTGTACAAAACTTGTGTAGTAAAACCAGTGAAAGACCAGTACAATGTATATGTAATTTGTACATTGGTACTGGTAGTGAGTTTTGTAAAGCTTTAGGCCTTAAATTCAATTAAGAAAGGCATTTAAATACTTCAAATGTCTTAATCACCTATTTTTTCCATGTAAAATTTTACAGTGGAAAAATCACGTTTTCATGATTAATTTACCATTTTTTCAAAAATAAATTATACACATGTACTACACAATACACCAAAGTACAATCATTATACAAGAAGTCCATATAAAGATGCTTCAACATAAAACAGTCTGGGCAGTAGATTGTCCCTAAATGCTTCATAACAGTTAATACATTAAATAATGACATGAGTACAATGGCAGGTCTCCGAGAGGAGAGTCTATGACGTCAGACTGTCCTGAGATCGACTCTCAGTCTGATGTGTAGGAGAAAACAGTCTCCGTGTCGTGGGGCATCAACTGAAACAGACTGAACTGGGGCTGCTCCTGGGGCAGGGCCGTAGATATGGGGGTCTGTAAGGGGAACCCTGCTGATGCGTTTACAGGGGTGGTATTTATCACAGCTGCTCTTACAGGTGGATTCATAATCACTGGTGTACCTGAAAAGACAAAAACACATTTATAATTGTTTACCTATACTTATACTATATTCAAATTTGGAGTTGGAAAAAAAATATTCTCATTTTAAGTCAAACATGTGAAAATTCATAATTCACTGAATATACATTTAAGTTTCTGTATCACAAAAGTTAAGATCAAAAGTCAGACAACAGTACACATTGAATGCTGTAGGGCACCCACAATTTGATGTGTAGTGATATCAACAGTGGGGTGTGATAAATCTGTACTACTTAAGGGGTCCTGACCCTCTGCTACAAATTTCACTTTAGAAAATTTAAAATTTGTAATATTGATTTTCATAAACAACAATAACATTAGAGCCACATGGAAAATAGTTTGAAGTATGAAGCACTGCTTATTTTTTCAGAAATGATTTTTATGTCAGATCATGATATGAAGAAATTTCAACACAGAGAACAGAAAGAGTAACGATTTATTATCACAACATTAAATTTAAAATATAAGGTGCATATGAAAATAATACTTAGTATCATACCTATTAAAATCATGTTAGAAAACATCATGAAGCCATGCTTCCTAAGTCAGAAAATCACAATGTTGTATGTGGTTTTAAGAAAAAAATACACCTGTGAGGAGGAGTTATCTTTCTTCTAAATATTTTTCATGTGTCATACTAATAAAATTTCTGTATTAAGTACTTAAAACATTAAACCACTTTTAAAATGGTCCTTAAAAAGATACAACTTATTCAATTTATTAGGCTTTTGAAGTTGGATTTAAATGCTTTATTGTTAAATATAATAAAACAATTAGAAAGAAATTGGCAAAAGAAATAGAAAGTAATGTTTCCTTCCTATGTTAGATTTCATTGATTTGACAACTCAGAGGTCTCAATTAGAAAACTCTGATTAAGAAAACGGTGAGTAGTGTTCATATTTTGTACCTTGAAAGTTATCTGTCTTATCAGAGGGTCGGTACCCATTAAAGCTAAAGCCTCACCTGGACTGGGGAGCTCAGGGAGTGGAAGAATTCCCTGCTGAGCCATAGCGAGCTGCCGAGTTATCTGTTGGAGTTCCTCCTGTTGCTGCAGAATGGCCTGTTGTAACTTCTGGGACTTCTCTCTCAACTGTTCATGAAGCTGCTTCTGGATTGGTGTCAGAAATAACTGTGGAGCCTGACTCTGTTCACATAAATAAAAAAAAGAATTATACATATTTACAAGTACTAACAATTCAAATTAATATTTCTAATGTTAGAAGTGACAATTAACATTTGATATAAAAAGCCATCTATCAAAGCTAATATTCCAAAAGTTACAAGTTGGAAAAAAGAATATTCAAATATTTTTAATTAGATTTATAAATACTCCTTTTCTTCTGAAATTTTAATCCTATACAAGTATATATGTAAGTTTATAAAATATCAAATCTAAAACTGACAAATTTCATCAAACAGTAGATTTTATGCTCGTAAAACTGAAAAGATTTTTTTTCTTAATTAGGTAATATACCGGAGATTTTTGACCATCGATAACAGGAAGTTGTGAACTGTGATGCATTGTGGGAATGTGCGAAGTTGAGGAAACACTATCTGCTCCATTCCTGTTTGATACCATTGCCTGTAAATAAAGTAAACTTTCATTAATTTCTCCAAAATTAAGAAATCTGGACCATTCTGTCAAATAAACAGAAAGTGGTCATGTTTTCATTAAATTATTATGCTTAGTGCCATGGTTTGGGATGTATATTCATATACTGTATTCTGTAGAGGTACTTTTTTTCAGTGTGAGATACTTTGACACTTGTATGGTTACAGTATTAAGCAATCTTTGAAAACATTTCACATTTTATTCATCAACACAGTGAAAACAGCTCAAGAAAATGTGTTCTGATTGCCTCCCTTTGGTACTTCCAATATTCTTGCTTCCTAACTTTAACAAATATATCCATTACTTGTTTACTATTTAAGGCAGGTAACTTCTGATGACAATAACAGCAGACTTTTTTTAACAGTATATTTCCTAACTTACTCCCTCTGGTCTTGAACTTTAAAAATTTGATTTGAATTTAGATTACTTAATCTAAGTAGCAGGATAAAGGAGTAAAAGTGGACAAATCTCATAAAATTACAGAGGATGGTACAGTAAAGACCCCCCTATTTCTGAGTTGGATTCCTACCAGTCTCTCTGGGTTGACGTGTAACAGATTCTGGGCGGCAGCAGTGGCGGATTCTGTGTATCTGGACAGCTGTTTGGGGTCATTAGCTGTCGCCTGGTTGAGGTACCTCTGTTGGAGAAGAAGCTGGATGTGCTTGTGTTGTGACAAAGAGGAATCTTTGGTGATGTGAGAGGGCAGTTCTTCTACACTCTCTTTATCAGACATCTGGTTCCCTGTCAAATACCACAGAGAAGTTAGCCAGAATATAGCAGGTGCCACAATCAACAATTACATTATATCATATTCATTTAAATAAATTAAAATTTACAAGAAAGAAGGGGTTTTAATTTTAAAACACATTGAACAGTAACATAATTGTTTTCCCTTGCTAGCCTATAAAACTATACCTCTATGGTAAACTTGATAAATACAGGAGATTAAACATGATATGTGGTAATGCACAAATCAAACTGAACAAGAGATGTTTGTAAAACACTTATGCCCCCCTCCCCCAAATAATTGGAATTTTTCTGAGTCTAAGGGACATAACTCTGTCCAAAATGGCTCGATCATACCCAGAACAGAAGTTGACCTAGATTTTCAAATGATAAATCTCTTTACCAATTTTCATTTCAATATGTGCAACCTCTGCAAAGAAAATGAACAGAAAATGCAAATAATTGGAATTTGTCTAAATCCAAGGGGCATAACTCTTTCAAAAAATGGTCCTATCACACCCAAAACAGAACCTGAACTAGATATTTTTGTGATACATCTTTATACTTAATTTCATTTAATATTGCAAACCTTTTTTAAAGAAAATGGCGGAAACGAAATTTATAATTGAAAATTTTTCTAAAGGGGCTAAATTTTTTTCAAAAATGGCAAATTTTTATCAAAAAATAACCATTTATTTTT